GTAATATCAAACCATCTGCATAGGAGCCTACATGCTAACAGAGGTCGATCAATTCAGTCTAGCACAACGAACAATGGGGAAGTACAAGTATCAATGAAAAAAGTAGTACTTTGTACAAAAGTAAATTAGTCAAAGTTGCCATAATTCATAATTTAGATTTACCAAACAAGAATGAAAAGACTAATTTTTCGAATTTCGCCAAATGTTAGTGCAAAAAAATATAAATCGAATGACGACAAATTTCGAACTCGTAATTTGAAATATTTTGTGCAACCTCATATACTACGAATGTTTTTGTCAGTAGTTAAAGTAAAACAACAAAATTATTGAGGCTTAGAGTTATGAAAATTGACTTACGTGTACAGAAGTATTTCTTACTGCACTTGCATTTTTATTGCTTCTAACGATAACAGGATTATTTATCTCTCTGCTCATACTAGTGGTCATTAACTGGGTATGGTTATTTTTCCCTGAGTTTGATATCGATTGAGGTGTGTATTTTCCTGTGTTTGAAGTTGAACCAGGCATTGAAGCATGTCTGCTTAATTGAGTAGACAAATTATTTGTAGCTTTACTACTAGTCATATGTGAGGTATTGTTTGAGCTTGGTAGAGAAGTAGGTGTGGGATTTAGCTAGTAGGAGAACAATAAAAAAAACCTAGAGAAAAGTCAAGCACAGTCATTATAATAATAAAAGAATAAAGACGACTTAATTTTATCTGGTCATGATTAAATTGACGTTTCATACATTTATCCATCAGAAACTTTTACTGTTGTTATTCTATACTGAACTTTCTATTTAACTGGGGCAATAAAGTGTCAATGACAAATATTGGTGTTTTAGGATGGCATACGTTCGTGGAAAAAGCCGTAAATGAAAAGTGCATCTCCATAATTGACAATTTTCCTCGATAGTACACATACTTATACCATCTTGATTTTTCCCTAATGAGTTAGTCATAGAGAAAATTGTAGGACCATCTTAAACTCAAATCCAGTCTATCATCAAGTAATTCTGAGGTGATACCAGTGTTTTCAGAAGGCCGTCGTCATCAATAAGTAAGGTAATTATGAGAACAACTAGAGACTGGATATCGTTTGTACATTAAAAGTTGAAACGAAGATTTCAGAAATCGGTAGAAACACGTCACTGGGGAATGATTTCATGAAGTAAGTGACAGTGGCCAGTACCAACCACTTAATTTCAAACCAGTTGTGCAACAGTTATAGGTCAATATTATTCCTGAAGGTTCTGAGTTCGATTTTCGTGAGGAATTTCAGCTGCATACTAATAAGGTTAATTGAACTAGCATAAATCAAACTAATAATAAGTAGTTCACTCATATTAGAGAGCATAAATTCCATCAAAACACTTGCTAAAAGTAAACATTGACATATACAACAAAAAAAAGTTGAAATTACTTGGGTAACAGACTTAGAAGTATGTTCATTTTCGAATGCACTATTATTATTTGAATGAATCACATGACTCAACGATGATATGGAGCCGTTATGACGATACTTTGTAAGACTTCGGTTTTGTGAAGAATAGGAGTTTGATTTCATTTCGTTTGCATCAAAAAAACATTGTTGGTTTCTGGATCGAAAAGTGTTGTCATCTATTTCAAGAAAAGATAGAGAGTAAAACTTTCTTCACATGTAAACGGCAATGCATAGTTTTCAGAAAAAAGTTGATTGAATGTGTGGTAATCTAAGGAGTTGGAATTCATTAGGGATGAAATTCCCACTTATTTAATTGGCTGGATAACCATTGTATATTACTATTCAGGTCAATAGGCACACTTTCGCTGAAGTACCGTAGATGAAATAAAAAGTGGGCGTGTTGGAATAAATTTCACCTTAATACTGTGCCTACTTTAAGTAGCAAAAAAATCTACTAAATTTTTCAGAACCGTTGAGCTTGGTTTGTAGAATGTTACTATACACCTGTTTATGACTAAAAAAAGTAGCCTGCAACTAAAGTAAAGCCATAAATCAGTAAATGCCTGAATATTTGTATTTTAAGCTATTAGACTTTTTATTATATGACTCTAATATCGACTTCCATTAAGTAAGGTTGATACCGCAGCATATAACTGAAAGCTGATAGGTACATCACTTGCAGAACCCTCTCTGTAATTGATTGTCGAACACACTTGGCCATTTGTAGGGATTTTATATATAATGGTATCATGAAGGCTTTGTTTGACTGATTACCGACAGTAGGTTTTCATCATGAATTACACTTGAGTGACTGGTACCTTCAGGATGTTTTTGAATTTAGTAGAAACCCAGAAACCGGAAACAAATGAAGTATGAGCTGAGAGAATGAAGTCAAACTGATGAATATTTCGCAACAGGCGATATAATAGTTTAAATATACACTGACTTGTCACTGGAAACTAACCAACTTCATGTTATCTAGCCCTGTATGATAAAAGAATACCTTCGTTATACAGCAGATACCCATCAGAATATAAGAGAAGTGTTTCGGAGTTATGAAGTCGCAAAGCTGTGTATGTTTCTTCGTGAATACCTATTTAGTATTTGGGAGTTAACTATGGTTTGCCAAAAGTGATAACGAGTAAAACTGTATCAATACTCAAGCTATCATTTACAGTATAAAAGAATCAAAGTTGTTATGAAACGGTAATGACTAATCAAAGTCTGACGAGAATCCATCGAGGATTACTGGACCCGGATCAGAATTTATGTAGCATGACTCATTATTTGAAAATGTAATTGTGATCAGGAAAAGTAAGGAGACAGAATGAACAGGAAGTTGTGTAAGAAGTGAATAGAGTGAAAGAAATAGGCGATTTCAGCAACTGTAAATTAAAAGCAAGAAAGGAAAAGGGACAAAAGAAATTTCTTTTTGTGTACATAGCTCAGTATTCTCTATATGAATCAAAAGTGGTTCGGCAATGAAAACAATGCAAAGACATACAACCCTTAAAAGTTCCCTTTTCACTTTATAAATGTCTTTGACAGGTTTCTGGAGATGGAGTGATACGCACTAACAAAACGTCTCTTGGTAGTATTTTTTGTCGATCCGATGGTGGCTTTCCGTTACCATGCACGATAGTGCTCTTGAAACCTCTTGGATAGAATCCGCATCCAGCGGCCTATGTACCTGGCTTCACAAGTGTAGATGGAATTAATCAGTGGTTAGATAAGATATTTCATCGATCAAGCTGTTAGAAAAGAGATGGACGATAAAAGAACATAAATCACAGTAGTGATTCAAAGAAAATATTTCTAAGACAATTTGACATCCTTGCCTTTAAAGTACCAGTAGCAGAATCACTTTTATAATTTCGATTCAATAAGGCATCTATTTTGGCAAGGAGGTAAAGTTCTTACTGAGAGGTTTAGGCTTTATACTTTGTTTGTGAAATGCAAAAGAAACCTGTTTTCAGTCAGGGTTTTCTCTAGAAATGAGATTTTTTCTTCTAACATCACATTTCCCGATTCATTGAATTTGGGTGACAAGACATAGGACTCAAATATTTTTGAAACTTATGGACACCCAGCTATATAAGTCCGTCAGTTAGCCATTCCATATTGTTCGAATTCTGTCAGTCCCTTCGCAATGAATTCAGTAGGGTAGGAAGCTTGCCACTACGGGGTGCACTTTGGTCGATGTCAAGCGAGGGTAACGCCTCTGACTCCAGCGTTGGGTTATGGGAGGTTTAAATCGATGGTAGGAAATAAGTTTCTCCAAATTTGGAGATACGTCTTGCATGTGACCAAGTTCTAGACTATTTTACAGACTGCTTCTAACCAATTAACAGTTTGGGTATAAAATCAAATTAGACCTTTATTTTCCTGTTTGACAGCGAAAAAAAGCCAAATGAAGGACTCTTCTACTCAACTCTTTGCTCTCCACTAAACAGTTGGTAGAAATTAGGTGCACCTTTTGATTCGCGTTTCAAAATAATTGATTGACATTAACGTGAACAGTTACCTACCATGGAAATTAAATGATTCACGAAGTCATACGAATATTTGTTGCATTACAGATAAGTGGAGGGATGGAGGTATGCTAACCTATAGATTTAGAAATCCTGAGCTTACCAATATACCAGTTTACAGGAGCATGATGCTACCACTTGTGATACTGAAATGGAAGAACTGCCCGTTATTCCCCGATCTTCAGTGATACACTATCTTGCATTGAGAGCTGTCATTAAGTTATCGGAATAAGTAAGATAGGAGGTTAGTAGAAGGCAGGAAACCTATTATTGTCATTTCAACTACAGCGAATACTGCTATGAAGCTAATTGTATACAACTTACAGAATATTATAAATGACAGTTTAAATAATGTAATGCAAGTGTTTGAGGAAATCGTTATATTAAAGAAGCCTTTAACAATATATAGGATAGTTGGCAAACGTTTTCACATTACTATGGAAAGTTATTTTCCGAGCTTTGTGATAAGAAAAAGTGATGACCAATACCTGTGAACCGCATAAACTGGTTCTTACACATTATTATTACTATTATTATTATTATTATTATTTGTCCCTTGGGTTCCCAGTGGAACATAGGGCTTCAGTAGCACGTCTCCAGAGCACTCTGTTCTCTGCAATCTTTTGAACCTGGCTCCATGACTGCTCAGAAGCTCTCATTTCCCCCTCGCACGATCTCCTCCATGTCACTCTCAGCTGGGACGCCCAACTCGTCGTTTCCCATCTGGGTTCCACTCAAGGGCTTGGCCTTGCGCGTGATGTCCCCAGTCGGTCTTCTCAGTGTATACCCATCCCAATCCATCTCCACTTCCTTCTGCATATTTGTTCAGCCATAGGTTCTTGGTTGGTTCGTTACCACAGTTCATTGTTGCTTATTCTTTCTGGCCATCTGAACTTCAGTATCGAGCCAGCGTAGGTAGTTGTTGATGAATGTCTGTAGTCTGATGGAAATCCCTTCCGTAACGCGCCAAGTCTCTGAACCATATAGAAGCACTGACTTGACGTTGGTGTTGAAAATCCGGATCTTGTTCTTTGTGCATTAGATCTCCACACTGGTTTCAGGTTAATGAATGCCTGTCTTGCTTTTCCGATCCTAGCTTTGACGCCCCGTCTGTGCCGCCTGTAGCTGAAACGATGCTGCCTAGATAGGTGAAAGAGACTACTTCCCTTAAGTTTCTCCCGTTCATGGTGATTGGAGCTTGTCGCTGATGGTGGTGTTGGTTGGGTATCTTCATCACCTACCCCTGTCTTCTCTACGTTCACCTGAGGGAAGTCCCGTCTTCACTGCCTCGCCTCTTTTGCCAACTTGTTGAGTTTTGTCTGTGGATCTGCAAGTGTGTGTGACATTAGACACAAGTCATAGGAGAAATCCAAATCTTCCAGGATCTTTTCCCAGGTCCAGCGTATCCCCTTTTCTCACTCCTCACGGTTTGTTACATGATCCAGTCCACCACAATCAGGAAGATCATCGGTGATAGTAGACAGCCTTGTTTTACTCCTGTCTTCACTTCAAAGGTATCACTGAGCTTCTCACTGTGAATTACTTGGTATGTAGCGTCTTTATATAGTTGTTGAATGAGGTTGATAAAGGTTTGTGGTATTCCATAGTGTTGGAGCAGTTGTCAAACTACTTCTCGGTAGACACTGTCGAAGGCCTATTCAAAGTCGATGAAGTTGAGGTAGAGAGCTGACTGCCATTCTATGCTCTGTTCTATGATGATACGAAGCGCTACAATTTGATCGGCACATGACTTGTACTTCCTGAATGCAGCCTGTTCTGGTCGTAGTTTGGAATCCCGCGCATCGTTTAGTCTCTCCAGGATGATATGGCTTAATATTATGCTTGCTTGGGGTGGACAGGAGTGGAGCATGATTCCTTGCCGGTTCTTGCAAACACTTAGGTCGCCCTTCTTTGGGAGTTTGACAAGGTAGCTCTTCTTCCAATCAATGGGCAGGCACCTTTCCTTCCTTCCAGACCTTCTGCAATATTGGTGTGAGCACGTCCGCTGTTGTCCCTGCGTCTGTTCTCAGTGCTTCTGGCCGGATTCTATCTGGTCTTGCTGCTTTCCCGCATTTCGGTAGCTTTATGGCGTTCAGGACTTCGACTTTCATTGGAGCGCTTGTGTCCACTTGTAGTTCTGTGGCTGCAGGTGGTATTTCTGGACGAAATGCAGGTGGTGGTCGATTCGAGAGCTTTTTCAAGTGGTCAGACAATCAGTTCCTTTGTTTCTCTTCTTTGGTAATTAGATTTCCGTCATCATTTTTTATTGGTTTCATCTGTGTTGATCTCTTCCCAGATAGTAACCTGGTTATTTGATATAGTATTGTCAGGTTTCTATCTCTCTTACGTGCAGCCTGTTCTGCTTCGCTTACCAACGTGTCTGTCGCAGAAGTGTATTTTATCTTGCGCGTCCTCTTCTTCACTTCTTTGTCCAGTGTAGTGTTTTATACCTTGTACTCAGTTCCCCTTTTCGTTGTGCATCCTTGCACTGGTTTATCTTCTGCTTCAACATCCTCCTCTCCCTCCTCTATCAGCTTCTATGTGTCCACCCACATCTATTCATTGTCTTCTCTCCTCTTCCTTTCTAACAAGGTTGTGCAGGTTTATTTCCACACAACTTTCAAAGAGTTCCAGTGTTATTCCACTCCCGATCCTTCATGGATGTTGCTCAATATCTCCCATCTTTTCCTGATGACTGACTGACGTGAAGATATCCTTTGAAGTTTCATCCTTCACTTCACTTTCTGTTCTGTGTGTTCAACTTCAACTCTAGTCTATCACCATCTTCTTCAAAGGCTTTCAACTTCATTTTGAAGGCAGCTTCCTTACACTATTCAGTGAGTGGTGTGAACCTACCTACATCTGCTCCTCTTCTTCATCTCATCTTGTGTCCAGTAGGCAGGCTGCGTCTCCACTTTCTTCACATTGACATGCAGTCGATCTGATTTTTAGTGTGTCTCGTGTCTGCTGATATCAAATCCATGTCGCTGCCTTGTGAATATCCTTGTGTTTGCACACACTGCCTCGCCTCCAATCACCAAATCATTAAATGCTCAGAAGTCTGCAAACAGTTCTCCATTCTCATTCTTCATTTCACTGAGTGCTTCTCAACCCATGTTTGGTTCTCTTCCTGTGTTGTCTGCTCCCAGTTTAACATTCATGTCACCCACTCATTAGAATTTTGATGTCGCCATTCAAGATGGTGTCTTGTCTAGTACTGATTGCAGTTGTCTGTAGAATTCCTCCTTCTTCTCTTCATCTGCATTATTTGAAGGTGCGTAGTGTAGTGTAGTGTAGTGTAGTATAGCATTGTATGATTGTGACTTTCCTTCCTTTCGAGTTGAATCCATCTTGCTGTCATGATTCTGGTCGTTGAGGAGATTGGTTCCCACTGCATGAGAGCCTTCAATGTTCTTGCAGACATCATGATGGCCTTCTCATCTCTTTGTCAATCTGGACAGCCTTGCTAGGTTTATACACGGTGCGGACATTCCATGTCCCTATGCTTACTTTCGCTTTCATCGAGAGAAGAGAAGACACATCGACCGACTGGCTTCTCGAAGGCTTTCACCAACCGGGTTCATTTTGTCTCTCCGATTCCAGTGAAGAATAAGTTTATTTCTATTTTTTATATTTTGTCTGTGCTTTGAAGTTTCTGTAGAGGTTGTATTGGTTTTAGAGGGTAGGGTTGCTAGCCGTAAGCCCAACCTTCCCTTTTTATCCGGGGTTAGGACAGGCTAGTAACTAGTGAACTAGTTAACCAGGCGAAACCATAGGTGTTTAAGCCAGTTTCATGAAGAGTAAACTGAGTGCCAGAAAAATAACGGTAATTCTTTCAACTGAATAGTTGTTGGCGTTCTGTTTTCGTAGGGATACATGTTGAGGCTAACGTGAACAGTTGTTGAGACTAGCATTGACTGCTTTTTGCCAACCACGTTAAACTATTCAATACTAAGTATATCACTTATACATGATTACCGGAATTTATATATTACAAATGAAGTCAGTCAAAAGAATGACAATATGAATAATAGGTTATTATCATATCTGAAAACTAACGTTGTTTTTTGACAGGATCTCGATCTGATTCACACTTTTGTCAGTAGCAACATCTGTGGAAACGTTATTTGCGACATGTTCAGAAAAAGATGCTTCAACTGAGGTCTTTGGATAAAAGAAGAAGAATATTACTCAACAAATAATTATACAAATGCCTTAAACAGTATAAATAACATTGTATCAAGACAAATAGAGACTATTATATACCATCAGCATACCAGTAGGAACATCACACACTGGTGGGCAGGTACATCTAACTAATGAGCCCTAAATAAGACGAAAAACGCAGCCTGGTTGTTACTACCAATGATATTAGAAATACTTCTTTTGGTAAGTGCATAACGTTTCTTCGACTTTAAATAATGCAAGCTTGTGTCTAAATGAATTGAGAATAATTAATTAAGTGATCTGGTCATTACACATTATTCATAAGTCCCACTTATCTGTAGGTTAGATAAATACCCGACAACTCCATATATTATAGAATCTAGGAGATTTTATGAGGTAATTAAAATGTTCTAGAAATAACCATTATTTTAAAAATGCTGCTGACTTAAAAGCCCATCGCAACTCAGGGCATTACCGATAAGTAGATGGTTTTAAGATTTCTAATTTTTCACCATTCAATAGGAGTTTTAATATAATATTTTTAGAAATATTCATATTACTTGCCAAATAAACAAACAATATAACGAATGACTACATGGAAAGTTTTCCACAGCTTACACTGTGCATGCCAGCAGTTGTCTAAGAAATTACAGTAGAAACAGACAACGTACATTTAACTTAAAGCTGGTAAAATGCTAGTTATTTTCATTTTATTCCCCCCCCCCAGAAATATCACGGTGTACTCATTTTCCATCTAACAGATTTTCTTAACGTTAGGCATAGATTGTATTTGCGTAAGTCACAGTGGGTTTGAAATCAAATAATTCCAATGTTTCACACGGAAGGCTAGTTTGAGCTTCTTCAGGAAAATAATCAAAATAAATATCAGAGATGTCTAAATGAATCAAAAAAGTGTATTAAATCTCCTTGTCCAATCCTCTTGCTATACTATACGATCTACTCTTGATCATAGTTTATATAGATTTTATTGATCTTAGCATTCTGCAGTACTCTGAAAGTTGCATAATCTTCTGTAACCATTTTCTGGGTCAACTTCCACTACTTTAATGACCTAAAGTCTAAGGATAAATTATTGTTAACACTTTACCTTTTTTCACTAATTATTTCTAGTTGACTAACTACTCAGCTTTGAAAACCACCACATAAAGGAAACATTTCAATAAAAAAAAAACTAACCGATAAATTTTCAGCATTTCCGTTCAACTCTACTGATCGGAGCAATTTTCGAATTTTGTGTTGAGCTTTCTTCTCCATAATTATCTACAGAAATCGGAATGCAAAATGATTACTCTACATATGATGGATGTAGGTTTGTAGAACAATATTTTTGTGACATATTTTGAAGAAATTTCGAACCTCACAACCTCCCCAAAATAAGCAATATTTACGATAAACGATTCGTTAGGAATGACAAGGAATACTCTTAGAAAATACGCTCATTGACTATAAAAATCTGAGTATGATAATCTATGTAGGAGGGTGAACCCAATATTTCAACTAAATGAGAAAATGAAAGAATAGTTTTACATCCAAAGTAAACTTTAAATCACCAACGTCAAATCAAACGAAGTGGTCAGCCTCTTCATTCTCCATAGCATAAACGTTGATTAGTGATAAAATAATACGTTATAAGGGTCCTTCCATCAATCCAGAAGAAGAAATATGAATTTAAAGTCAATTGCGATTGTATCAGATTCTCGTACCAAGGAAGTCTAAGTAACGTCAGTAAACTTCACGAAGTTTAACATTCAGGTAAAGCAGGCATCAGCAGATATATTTACGTGAATTTAATTTCTCGATTATGTAGAATGCAATTTCATGTTATTTACTGAACAATGGGACCGCTCGACAAAAAGGATACTACCAACCAGTTAGAAGAAATATTTCAAAAGAAATCAGCGATATTCGGAGATTACTTATAGATAAATAATAAAAGCTCAGTATTATCTAAGATTTGATAGGAATATCACTATAACAGTCACGGGAGCTTTGAGATTAACCCACTAGTTTTAAATGACAAGAAACGAAAATAATTACTATTATCTCCTCAAGCAAAGTAACTTATGAAGTAAATGTTTTATTGTGGATTAGAATATCACTAATATTCTCAGTGTGTGAAGACGCTGAATGGAACAAAAGAAAATTCTTCAGTTACTGTAGTGTTTAAAACAAAGGCTTCCAGATTAGCTGCTTAGCACTTTACTCATTGAGATACAAAATCCATCCCAATGAGTTTTCCCTGGTTATGCTGAAAATGAGTCGTCCGCAAACATTTCTTCACTATCATATTAGATGTTTAGCCGAGTTTTCTTCGGCCAAAATAACTGAATTGAAGTAGAGAATGAAGAGTAATATATCGAGTGCAGATTAGAGCATAGAAGAATAAAGTGGAATCAAAACCTGATAAGCAGTTGGTTATTCGGAAGCTACATTTTCAAACCTGGGTTGATCCCAATTTTAATTCCCTGTCTATTGCATCTCTACAAAATAATTTCTCCAAAGTTTGATAGTTTACAAAAGATTTCTCTACTTGCTAATTTGGGCATTAGAATGTGTTTAGTGTTTTAAATCACTGAGAAAAAGGTCTATAATTTGGTGATGTAAATCTGACTGAGAAAAATTGTAATGTTTCACTAACAAAATATACAATAAGGAGCAATATCAAAACAGTGGATAAGAATAGCTGGCCTTCACTGTAAGGACGTTAGTCAGCTATTAATAATTTTGATTGAGATACTGAACATGAATAACGAGTCCACGTAGATTTAGTTCCAGTCATCGACTATGATCAGTACTTACGACCTACAAATAGGTTCTTGAGAAATCTGGATTACTATGTTAACAGAAAGGGAAGGCATTGTAGAACCTCTTAAACATGAGTTATTCCTAACACACAATTTTCTGCTTATGTGAAATATACCTATAATGATTTGAAAGAAGAACAAGTGTTTCAACGACAAGTCTGATGTGTTAGAAAGGAAATTTCTGTTCTTAAGAACATCCTGATTGTAAACGGATTCCCACCACGCTTCATAGACAGGCACATCGAATCTAAACCTCGCAAAGAGAACCTTACCACCGTGTCAAAAAAATATACTCTACATGAATCTCAACTTCAGACGTGATTCTGCCTCTGACATTCTAAAAAGGAGGATATCAAACGCTCTAAGCAGAACATTATTTGTATCAATCAGTGCTGAGGCTAGTATTCTCTTATCGTCCAATGGTTTCTGACAACTCAAAGGAGAAAATTTCGCATCTGACCACTTCTATGTGCATACATCAATTCACGTGCTCTTGTGGAGCCAGGTATATAGGTCGTTCGATGCGACTGTTATCCAAAATAGTTTAAGAACACTATCCCACGTGGTTACAAAGACGTAACAATGGAGCCATAAGGAGTGCCATAACTGAACACATCGTGAACACAAATCACCCTATCTCAAAAACCTCCTTGTTTAAAGTGAAAAAAACCTCCCAAAGGCTGTATGTCTTTGTGTTCTTTGCATCACCGAAGCTCTTGCCATCCAAATGGAGAAGCCTAAACTGTGTACAAAAAAGAAGAGTGTTCAACCCCTTCTCCTTTCATAGTCTTAGTTTTCAGTCTCTTCTACTACCCCCTCTTTTCTTTCCACCTTTCTGTTTCAACACTATTCACTTCTTAAGTAATTTACTACTCATTCTTGTTGCTATGTTCTGCCTAGTCACAATTTAGCTTCCAAACTTTTTGTTCAAACTTATTTTGATTAATATTCACTACTCATCAATTTTTGGCTTTTTTGTATTTTGATGACAACTCATTTATTGACAGTATTTGTGTTGCCATGCTTGACAAACCGTTTTTAACTGTCAAATCCTTACACTAGAAAAATGTATAAATTTGCGGTTGTACAGCTTTGAAAATGAAATCACCAAAAAGAGACACTTCGCTGAAATACGTGTTCTTCCTTCAAATTTTCTGCTTCATCTACCACAAGAAGGCACAAATTTCCTAACCTGTGAAGATGGTGTAAAATGGACGGAATAAAACTTAAAGGAACTAATAACCGGTTAGAAATACGATAGACAACCTTAAGTGATATTTAAAATAACAACTGGCTCTTCCTTTTTTAAAAAGAAGTATCTATGACAAAGAATATTGTCATTTAACTAGCATTATTCGAATGCTGATGCAACATGCCACCGGAACTAAAACGTATTAGAATGCCTATGTTTTAGGCTTTAAATGAAGTAGAACATCATACTTTTGACATGTCACAAATTTAAAAAAGTTGCTGCGTCAGACAACAGGACCTATAAAAATGGCCATGAATTTTAAGAAAAAGAGCTGTGCCGTAATCCGTACGATGAAACGTTCACCACATCAAACCTCAAACTAAACAACTTTATATTTCATAGATAGTCAGATTCATGTCTTAACTGACATTCATCGAAAGTGATGCGTAAATTTTAAACTTGCAACTAAATAATGACCACATGCAATTCATTTTCCCCAGAGGATTAAGTAACAATGGAAACATGCAAAGGAATTATAGTAATTCTAGTATGCTGACCTCGATTTCAAAGTTGAATTGGCAAGGGGTTTAATATATGTGAAAAAATGTTTTCGAACACATAAGCTGAAGGAAATTGCGCAATAACTGTAGTTTCATAAAACTTGAGAGTATGTCCTTATGAGGTTTTGTAAACGGGTTTAGAAGAGAAGAGTTCATACTAGTCTTATCATCAATCTCAATTATATGCTTTTCATTTGATCCGACATATTACTGAAGGCATATGCTAATGTTTTCTTCGGTCACCCTTTGAATAGATCGATCTGTCTTACCAAAGAATACACGAGTAAGAGAACAGGGAAATCGATAAATAGGATCAGTAGTGACGCAGTTATTCCTACTACAACCTTAACGGTATTACATTGCCTTTTAGTAGGAGTTCTAATCCACTGTTTACGAATGACGGTTACCCTTGTGTAAACTTGTGGGGCATACATATTTCTTTAGGCGAAACGAACTAAAATGTCTTTATAGTTTGACTAGGAAATACGGTTTTACAAATATCTACCGTTTTTATAGATTTTAACGCGTAGGTGGGAATTTCTTGCTATTATTAGACATCTATCAAATGAATCTAATTGGATAGACACTTACCTCCTTCAACTCCATTTTTACTAAACTGCACTGAAGCTGCAAAAGATGACATACTAACTCATTCATCTAGGTTTTATTCAGATAAGTCTATTTTTTTTGAATACACTTCTCTATCGGTTTATCAGAATGTTTCATAAATAAATTAAAAAGGTGCTATTCAGTTTTCTCCACCAAGATTAGTATCTTACAAACGTATTCATCTTTAAAGGTTAATTTTTAAATTCCTATTTTATAAAGGCAATAACTGTTTCAGATAAGGTAGAGAAACTGGCAGTGAACGATAATTTATAAAAATACAATCACATACAATTTTCAGTTGTTTAGGTCAGGCGAGAAGAGTTTTGTTTGAATAAGTTATATTTTCACACAAAACTGGTTTTCCGTTGCTTTTTAACATTTACCTGCTGTTGTAGAGGTTTGTAGTACGATAACTTTGTTTAGAAGTTAACTGTATGGTCTAGTCAGAAAAAGCAATAGCTTTTAACGCATATACATAACTGGAATTTTTAAGGAAAAATGCAGCTTTCAAAGCCTAAGACAGGTCATGCAATAACAAATAAAGTCATTTATTAATTCCTGTCCTATTTTTTTAATCGAATAGTGAACTTACACCAATAAACTACATGCATATAACCTCTAGGAATCATGAGATACCACCTTACAGGTGTTTAATCACACCCAGAACAGCTGTCAGGATAGACAGAAACACATTTAATTAGTTGGTTCCATAAAGAGGGATGTGAATTAACAATTCAGTCCTAAATTTAGTTAGACAATGCACTCAATTTGGATGTTTGTGGGGATTCATTTGTCGGTTTCAGGTTGGTGTTCATCACGGACTAGGATCAGTTGGAAAACCACTAGAAACCTGGGAGCGCTGTCTCTCTTTAGTACGGATTCCTCAGTTTACTTCTCATGTTTTATTGAGCTGTGAGTTTATTTCAATCAATTGTCAGTTAGCCATAAAGAAAGAATATAGTTTCATTCAGTAATCGAAAGTACTGTATAAGCAGTCATCTTTGTATCTTCTTTCGTACATCTTTTTGAGCAATAAATCTTTCACCATAAGTATTTGTCTTCCTACGCACATTGCACGCGTATGTTTATCATTCAACGTCATCAGTTAATTTGTCCCACTTGTATATCTACCATTTTTGAAGAAAAACTTGAATTCCAAACAGTGGATATATTCAGGCGGAATAAAGGATAGTCAGGTTCCATGGTAATCATAACCTTTAGGGAATCGGATTTGATTCCAGTATTTAACAATGCCAACCGCAAGCAAACATTGATTCTACAAAACTTACCCTTTCACTGTATACCTGTTACACGATATGAAGGTAGTCGACGCGTTTCATTAGAAGTTCAGATTACTTTTCAAGCAGATGGCTACTAATGCACAACATATCGTGGACAGCTGATTTGATTATCTGAAACTAAATTCAGTATTGAATATTGAGCAAAATATACATCATCAGTTAACTAAAAGTGATTACGATTTAATTACCTCATATAGTTTCTGACGATAATCTGACACACTCAGCTGTTTAGCATCACTTAGAATGGGAGTAACTGAATGGTTTAGTACGATTTCAGATGAAGGATCACGAAATCTATTCATTTAATATAAGAAAAAGAAAACGCCCAAAAATAAAGTTAAAATATAGATAAACTTAATTTTGAAATTAATTTAAATGATTACATGATTTAACAAACGAAAACAGAGTGAAAAGATATTAAACGCTGAATACTTGATCAGTTTTTCGAAATAGCATGTGCACATAATTAAAGTAAAAGGTGTTTTCTTAAATTTAAAATTTAGTTTGCAGCTGAAAATGAAATAACTGAATACATGTCTAGTTCCTGCATGAATTCTTACCGTTTTATCGCTTATGAGATAGTTCTGTATGACAAAAGCTTCGTCACTGAACTCATAACGTAAGTGTATTAAGCATGTTCAAACACTTATTGACTTTCTTAGAAATATCCAGTCCATAGATGTTGCGAATGCCCTGGAGGAATTTGAGAGCCAAGTCTGATTTAATCCTAATACAGTTAAGTTGTAACATTACATAATTAATACATTCTGCTAAAAAAGCTGTGGCGTACCCAGCAAAATGTTTAGGAAAGTCTTGCTTTGATTTTCCAACCACACTGGGATTATGTTAAATCTGACTTGTGTATTTATTAGCTCTGTCATGAATGCTGACTCACGGAGAAAAGAAAATTTCTTACTTAAAGAATGCTTGCGTCTGACTGAAGTCGACTGATTTTCATTCATCGTGGAAATATCCCTTCCATATACCGCATAATATGATATACTTATGGCCTAGAGACTATAGCTGATAAATATGACAGCAAAACTGTTATGCACAAAGTATCCACGAAGAATGCTGGTTCAGTGAATGGTTTTGAACATCACCTGCTCCTATAAAGATATATTTTGGATTTTAAATTTGAGGATGGTAGGAACCATGTTAAATAAGCTGATTTATACGTTCGCATAAGCAATAATTTTTAAGGAAAGTTTCATCTTGTTCTTATATTTCATAGGAATGCATAATCTATTCCAATTTCACTTCAAAATTGTATTCATACAATTGATGCTTTCTGTACTCTGTAATTTTGTTATCATTGTCACCTTTGTTTATACACCGATATTTAGAAATTGTTCAACTTTAGCTCTTAGTCTAGATATGCATACTAACGAAACCGTATGTAGGAAACGTTATTCTTATTTTCGAGTATATATATATATATATATATATATATATATATATATATATATATATAATTTGATGCTTTATCGTATTGCTTGTGATTACATGCTAAATTGATTGAGATATTCTTAGCCAGTTTTATCATGGCAAGACGTTTTACTTGGTCTCAATGTCATTTCGATATCGTAATTGATTAAATGTATCAAGGTTTACACAGTTCAGTTTCGGATTATTTGTCCTACCATACTGTTATCAGATGTGATAGATGCAACCAGAAGACACAATAATGTTATTAGTACTCGATTAAACACTTACTTGTGGGACGTAAAGAGAAATACCAATATTATACCTAGAGATCGAAGCAATTAGTATGAGTAAGTTGATGGGTTTGTATACTACCGCGGCTGAAATGGCTATGACATGCGTTATATGTACTGAGCTAACATTTATTCTGATGAGATATGCTGACTGATTTGGTTTATGGAGGATGCACAGACAAGTGTGGACTAATTGGCTGAGTTTCTTCAAGTATTTGGAATAAATAGTTGAGCTTCCAAACCAGCCATGCAGACACAAATAAACCTCATTTCTAAGTTTTTCAGAATTATGAACATCTTGTTATTCTGGGTCCACTTTTTTGTTTCTCCAATCATAGGTTTCTTCTTACTTGTTGTTATGCTTTCTCTTCATAATGTTTAAATTTTGCTTGTGTTATTGCTATGGTAACCACAGAGGATGTACAATTAGGCGGTTTTATAACATTTGATGTCAGTCTGTCCCGTTATCTACTTTATGAAAACTAGGTAACCACTGTTTACTTTACGATCATATTGTAGTAATCCAGATACTTTTAGGGAAAAAAGCGAGTATTCTTTGATGCTGTCTTCAATGGAATGGGTGGTTCAATGACAGAATTTTCATTGTTCTAGACAGTAGAATATAATCTAGGTAGTACATGCCTTCTTCCTTACAACGTTCTCTTTCGAAGCTACAAACCTCATTTTAGATGTGAATAATTAACAATATCAAAAAATAAATGAACTTGGTCACAGACTGCGAAAATTCTTCAAAAAGAAATTACACTTTGATCTGTTGAATGATGGCATTCAATTTCTGCGTGTTTGCACTGTGGATGAAAACAGTACTTCTAATCAGTACTTAGCTTTAAAATAAGTCCATTTACCATACAGTTTAGCAGTTTAGAGAAGTAGTCAAAACATTAATTCCATGCGAGGTCATTCCCATCTAAAGTATCCAGAGGTTATGTTTGTTGTTGAAGTATTAAACGAAGCGGGTAAAATTCCCCAAAATCTACAGCATACAGTTCAGTAATATTCAACATTTATGCTGACCTCTATAGTTTTAACAAATTTGCTTCCCTAAAGGTACACGGTAAAACATCTAAACCATTTCGCGTGCTGTCGTGTTAAGAAGTTAAGCCACCAAACCAAAAAAATATTTCTCAACTCATTCGAGTTCTTGCTTGGAAAAACACGGAATCTGACAAAAGTGGCTCACTTCTAGTTCCGAAAATCAAAAGAAGGATGAAATATTACCATTATCTTTGGGTATGAGTTGTAGGAAAAGATTATTAGTACTCACCTTTTCACATAAAGATGATGTAACGCCTGTTCAACTGTTAAACGCTTCTCTGGATTTAGCTGAACTAACTTTTTAAGTAAATCAAAGGCTTGTTTATCCGTATCATTGGGAAATAATGTTTCTAAGGGGTGATGAGGTCTAGAAAGTTGAAAAAGAATTGAAAAAAGGGAATTAAAACGTCATTTGTCTGCTATATTCTTTCATTATGAACTTTTATACCCATCGATGGTATTTTTCGGCATAGACAGACAGCAATTACAGACGGTGGGACAGGTATACATATCACTATAATAAGACTATACGTAAATGCATCATTTCAAGCCACCATGGCTCATATGCAACAGTACGAAGCCCTAAAATCGGAAGAAGCAGAAACAAATATAAAGTAACAGGGCTCTAAAGACATAGATATTAATGAGTCTATCTGAGACAGCTGTGGTTTGGCTGAACGGTGTTATAAATATTGATTAATAATGAAAGGTGAAAAGAAGACCTGGGTCAGAACTGGATCCAAACCAATGGCTTCCAGGTTACAAACCACTAGTTGAGCTACGTTACATTAGAACAGTCGTGTTTCATTTATGACCAACAGTCAGTGATTTCACGGATTTTTATCTGATTATAGTTTAGTTAGTTATAATTAGATGATCAAACCGGTCACTATCAAACACCAGTGACCTTGAGCTATGAGGTTATCCATTAACAAGAAGACCTAATATAAATAACAAGTCGTTTTGTAGATGATGCGGTAAAGTTTGCATTGAGAAAGACAGGAGGTGATCCCAGTTTAGGTCAAACTGGAAATACCTTCATAAGACTACGCATATAATTTAGATCATCTTTTTTCGCCAAAATCTACTAGAAACAGTTTTGTTGAATGCTATTTTTTTGTTAATTTTTGGAAAAAATAAGGATTTAAATAGAGGTTAAGGATTGTGTCTCTTGCATCTAGCCTGTAAAAATAATAAAGCAAATAATGTCCTGGTAACATTACTGTTATAGGTGTAGAAAAATGTTATACTATACGGTTTGGTTGTTCGTTGCTCTACCCCACGCTAAACACTAAATAATCGAAAAAGTTTCTGATAGGAAACCATACATTTCATTGTATTTCAGTCAATAGACACTTGATAAAAACTGTGGAAATTAATACCTTAAAAGATAAAAATGTAACTAAATTCACAAAGAGAGAAGATTAGTAGACAAATATATCTTGATGCGCCTTACAATTTCATCAGGTGAAAGTTCATCGAGCAAGTTTGCAGCATCTCTAAACTGAATTACTGTCCAGTGCTCACCAGTGACATCCTTCGACATGGATTTCCCGTTTTTTAGTGAAAAGTTGTGACCAGTGGAGTAAGCCAAGTTGAACTGAAGACAATTACTCAACAATGACATTGGATGATGGTCGTGCCATATTACGAATTGAAAAAAATGGTAAAAACTAGATCACTGGATTACATTCCGGTGGCTCAATGGTAACGTGTTTGTCAAGAAATATGAAGATCCTAAGTTTAGTCCGCGGTGGGGTAATGCATGCACATTGCTGAGAACGGATCACCTATTCAGTATACTTAGGTTTTCAATGATTTTCTAACAAATTTCAGTCCACGATGAGTGCAACCCTGAAACCAATCAGTCCCTTCAAACCTCCAAAAAATAAATTTCCTCAGCAAAGAACAATATTAATTTACTGTGAATAGCAACGTATAATTTCCATAAGCACCATAGGCTTGATACTTTTTTTCTTACATGAAGATGGTAACAATTTCCAGAGGTTTGCGAAAATCATTTGATAACTACTGTGGAAAATCTAATATTGTAGAACGAAATTGAAACAATTGTCAAAAGTCGATGAAATGAGTATTCATTAAACAGCAGAGATAATGAAACCAATTCAGCCGGGATATACTGGACAAAAGTAACGAGTCATGCAGTGTACAGATGAGGTCAGTCTGATCTAAGTTAAATTTCTTCAAAATTCCTTAGGGTAGTGAAAAAAACAATTAGATCAATAGATTACTTACAAAAAAGATAGGGAATCAGTAACTCTTATTTACAGTATTTCCAATAAACAACTAGTAGTATTGATTTCAATTCCTTGTGTAGCTGAACAGCAGATGACAGTACGTTAGATTTATAACTCTGTGAACAAATCTAGCTCGAAAATAGACAGGGAGGGAGATAGAGAAAGTCAGTCGGCACATCTGTGACCTGAGCTTCAGAAACTAACTGTTTTTCTAAAACAGCATACTCGATCAACATGTTTGAAATATCCACAAAATAAGGTAGAATTTTGCAAGAAACGGTATCAGTTCACACTAACCCACGCTTAAGGAGTATATAGAAATTGAAATTTGGTTAATTTACTGAATGACTACTGTATTGCACTAACCTACCTGATAATTTCTTAAAAAGTAAGTGAAGAAAGTCATTGATAACTTACTTTTGCAACGCTTTCTCCAATACTGATCTACCATAGTCTGAACGAAGGCACTCAATATCTAAGAGTGAGATAAAAATAGCAAATTATCAAATCCTGCACATATTAATTGTATTGTTGATAATGATTGTAGTAATAATGATTTATAGATATGCAGTGTAGTTCAAACAGTATCTTGGAGGGTGGAAGAATAATGATCTACATCGTGCCTGATACTTAGTTGAGCAAACGTCTCCCGTATCGCAAAAGGCATCAGTCAATAAGTACTAGTTTATCAGGAAGATTCGTCATAATCACTCATTTGATTAGGTAAATTAGATTGTCAACCGTTGTGCAACTTTGAGTTGGTTGTGAAGATGACTAGGTATTTTATACACTTAGGGTACTAGAGTACTGCAATGATCCCTTTTCACACCAAATCGTTTCCTGACCCAGGTATCTGCAACCCGAAAAAATGACACACGGCATCAGTGATTTTAATGACTGTTATTCCTATGAATAAATATTACCAAAACTTCATGGTTAGATAAGAATTCATAGATTTTCTGGCAATGATCATGAAGTATCTACTATAAAGGCTAATTTTATAAGCTCAATTTTAAGATATTCAGTTTTGTGTCACCGAAATTACAGCAGGCTTAGTGATTAGCCCACGTGAGAAGTTGTAAAGATTTTTGAGTTTCTGGTGTCATTTGTGACTCAACAAGTTTTCCTGCAGTCTCATTCATTCTCAGAATGAAGCCATTCAGAGAAAGGATTTTCGTCCTGTTTAATAACAGGCATGAATTTTAGTGAGAATATTAATGGAAACCATGAGGTTTGAAACAGGGAGAAGTGTATCGTTTAGATTTCACCATAACCACCTTAAGTACATCCTAGAACATTTGAGGATACTGACTAAGAATAATATAGGATGAATTAGCTAAATATGACTTCAGTTTAGTAATCTATCATCAATGCTGACAAATAAATATGATAACACGATTAATTGGACTCTTATCGTTTCCATAATGTCAAGGGTATGGCATTCACTATTAGGTTAGAGATAAACAATATATTACTAAGTAGTAGAAAAACACCTTTTACGGCTAGAAAAACAACTTAATTCAAATAATCCGATAAATACAGGGGGTCGACAGACGTCATCCTCAATAGATAAACAGATTATAGAAACAGGTCACAGGATTGACCTTAAAATAGCCTTTAGACCATTGTGTAGGATCTGTCAAGACCAACTACTTAGGTTCACTGAAGCCTTAGCTATACGAAAGTTCAAACCCCTTATTGTATTCAAAAACAAACCTACCTTGGTGATCTTTATCCCATTTCAATGTCAAGGGAGGTTTGAAAATGTATTATTCTTCCCTATTATTCCAATATTTTCCAAATATTCTATTATGTTAATTCATTAATTTTACCCCACCCTATTTTAATCTTTCATATAAAATGCCTTTCATCTTTGTTTGAATCCAAAACCAACCAAAGTTTTAGCCTGCTAACCCCAATTACTTCAGTGAAAGGGAGTATAACTGAACCCATATGATTACAGATAGTATTATGACTGAAGTCGATGAAAGGGTGAACAGTAAGACTAACGGTTCCTCATAATATTTTCAGAATATTGAGAAGACATTTGCAATTACTTAATTTCAGCACAATACTTTCGGCATTTGCATATAATATGGTAGACAATCAAAAGTGCTATGAATAGCGCTATACAGTGATGCTTCAGAACAAAATTAGGTAGATGAAGTTGCACACTCTTTATCAATTTCGTATTCATGCGATCAAATGGACTAATGATGAAAATTTATTTTACTTACTTCGATTCATTCCCGATTCCATTAAAAACTTCGATCATAACTTATTTTATTGAAAAGAACTTGCACAGAACAGATAAACTTCAGACGATGCTAGGTAATGAAAAGTAAACAACTATATTGCTTATCATATTGACTATCTGAGATAGCCATGGTTTGGCATCCTAGTATTGATGCTGGGTGGTGATTGAAGGTGGCCAGTTTGCATATATCTGTTTGTCTGTGATATTTGGTATGAACTGTATAGGTAAGTATAGGCTTACTCAATTTTGATCCCACGAGACAACCTAAATCAATAATGGGGACGATTAAGTGATATGAGCTGAAATCTAGTGGGATACATGAATCTATGCCTCATTTTCATTCAAGTTGTAATATTAAGCATCTTCATTCATTGTCTGATAGCATTTTACAAATGTTGATGTAATTATTTTTAGGTCACTGTCTTTGTGTTGTTGACTTCTTTTCCTATGCTCTGGTGCAGTGTGTGGCAAACAGAACATGTGTGAAATTATGCAGTCAGCATGTTATTCATACCTACCAGTTGAATGCATGAATGAGTTAGTTTACTGGTTAGTGTGTGTGAGTGATTTCTTTAAAAACTCTGAAACTCTGTATTAAAACTTTTGAACAGATTTTCCTGATATTGATTCATAGAATGTTCTGACTAAAGAGTTTGCAATTCTTCTCTATCTTTTTAAAATGAATGATATATAAAGGGATTCACGGAAAACTCGTTTATTTGTAGGCAGTGTGAATCGTATCAAGCCACATGAATTCAGCCGCTATCCAGAGGCAGAAGAAGAACTTTAGTTTTATTTTAGGTCATAGACACTGTGCACTATTTGAGTCGACACAAGAATGAGTCTTGACTTCTTAAAGGCTTTGGCCAGTAAGTTAGCATTCAGCTACTAAGTAAACATAGACTTCTTTTTTCGAAATTCTGTCATTTGTATATACTAAGTGACTATTAGGAAATGTCACTCCTCGAAAATCAGGTCTAGGGTTGAATGTGTTGTCACATCGGTGTACACTATTGAAGACTTTCTCACCAAATCATTACACTTGTTTGTTAATCCATATTTTCGCAGCAGTTTTTTAGCTGATGCTATTTGATGAATACGATTTTATTCAAGGTTAGTTTTCACTACCAATTAGTCCCCTTCCGATAAATCTATTCAGTTTAGTTGGATGGAAGTGAGATAATGGAATGGATTCGTTGGACATCGAAATTAGTCTTACTCATTCTCTACGCCCATCAGTTTTCACTAGAAATATTGAGATATATTCATTGCATATGGTAAACGTGTCATAACTCCAAACATTGCAATGAAATTATACTTTTTTCTCATGAATAAACATTTTGAAAAAGAACATCTAATAGTATATCTAGTATTTCGATGTAATTCTGATAAGGCATTTTCAAACTGACAGCTTAGAAAATCTAAATTTCTCATGCATGACTGAAGAAAAGCATATTGTCTGTTAGTATGAGCACCAGCTGACAGAAGACAAATCCTTGATATGTTATTAAATATTTGTAAATTTACTCGGCGATCCCTCGATGTTAACCGATACCACAACGTAGTATTCATGACTGACCAAACCTTGAAAGCATATAAGCTTCGGAAAGCTTTACCAAAAATATAAAACCTCGACTTCAAAGGAAAACAATATGAGTTCAGTGAAGATTTATTTCGCAACTGGTCATTCTACAACACTTGAAGTTTTCAGAATTTATTTTATTGATGATAATAATAACAATAGGGAAGGTAAATGAAGGCTAGAATTTTTCAATCATGGTATGAAAAATGAGAAGTGCTATTTATGGTGAATATAAGCCATGATCAACAGTGAATTTGAGAAGACTAGCAAGAAAATCTTAAAGGCGTACATCCTGAAATAATTTACAATGGGAGCATGAAAATAGAATTGAGATAATAGTAGGTTGTCAGCAATTTAGAAATATTGAAAAGAGGAGACTGATTTTCAAAAGTGACAGGTAGAAATACGCTACAAACATAAGCTGAACAGGTTTTCTGTACACACGTTTAATGATCACTCTAGTGGTGAACTAGAAATTCGTAGCAGCTAGGTATGAGTATTCGTGAACTCATTTTTAAAGAACCTGCATCGAACTACCGATGTAAGTGATTCCAGAATAGCAAGAATACAAGTGATTCCAATTGAAAGCCTGTCTTTCACTTTTGTTAGGAAGTACTAGACGACTGAAGAATACTAATCCCAAGATCATAACAAAGAATGCCTATCTTTTGTAGTTAGGAATCCAGTAAAACAGTTGATTTCGAAGCTCGAAGTCATGTAAAGTATCTCATTCGACACAGAAAGGAAGTTTTGAGTTTGTTGTTTCCAAGACCACGGTTATCAGTTATTTTTATTCCTGCTAATACGTTGAGTCAAAAAGTATCTGTAAATCACAAATATTTTAAAATGACAGGTATAAGATTGTGATTTAACAACTCTGTGAAACAAACTGTAGAACGGGATATTGCTGACAAAATTCTCAGTTCTACCTGAAGCGTACAATGGCGCTAAAAGATCTCTATCTCAGCTAGTCCATACCGATATGGAACCTGTCAATATTGCTCAACAGTTCAAGTTTCTATACCTCAGATCAGCAAATCAGAATAAAAGGCATGTTATAGAAAGTTAAAGGAAGCGAAGAAGAGGTGAAGAAAATTACGGAATGTGATGTGAGGATTGACTTAAATAAATAATATGTGGATGTACCTGGGCCCACTGCCCTTTATATTCACCCATTTCATTTGAAGTCCACAACCATCAACTTGAGTTATCACACGGACTCCAAGCTGGAATTCTTCTTAGACCATAGATCACAGACCTCATAAAACTATGTAATGTTTACTTCAGTCAGCATTGTGATACGCGGTAGAAGATGACTAGGCACGCGCAACGCATTCTCTAATTGCTTACGTTAGGAAGACTAACAAATTGATCAACTGCCTTATGATATTTGCTTAGGACTCCACACCTAACTTCTGGATTATAAAAGTGGTGGTTTCACAATATATCGCCGATGCTAAGAAAGTAACGTCAGTTGCAGACTTGAAGCCTTCCTATGTAGTCCACATTCAATGGCTATATTACACAGTCAGCTGTATCCTAGAAGACATAAATTAGATGAACATTTAAGCTGCTGAAAATAAGCATGTTTCATGACAAAGAATCCTAAACTTCATGTAAAACAGGAATGTATATTTAAAGTCATTTACTTCAGTGTGGTATCTTCCGGTAGGAGATTAGATTTCAAGTGATGATCAGGTTAATGTGTTGGTTAGTTAACTGAATACTTAATGTTCACCTCAGATGCTATAGTTTTCTTTAAAACTGTAAGTATAAACCCAATTACTGTTTTCCATAATCAATAACATATGATCATGATCTCATGATGTACCTTGTATTTTTACGGTATTGGTAACTACGTTTTTTCACTTCACGTTTTTCATGTTGCCAGTGAACTGCTGAATGAAAGTTAGGTGACATAATTAATTCGCTTTCGACCAATTCAAGGAAGGATGCAGATGTTCTAAAACGATGATGGTATATATTAATACCTAGTCCTGAACTACTTGGCTTTAATATAACTTCCAGGAACCTCATCTCTAACTAGCAATTAACTGATAAGTAGTGGATTGCTATTATAAAATTAGAAATTTTGCGACTGTAATAATTTGAAACTGGCACTATGAAAAGTCACACATTTTGGAATTCCAGACTAAATGTAGTTGAAAGAAAATGTGCAAGATTTCTTGGTGATGTTCATCGTTCAAAGGGGATCGTACATCTGTATTTCCTACTTGGTAGCAGTCATCGCCAAGATGAATCTATAGCACTAAGGAAATTCATCTGATCGCAGAGATGTACATCTGAATCACTGTATACTGAGATCAGAGGCTTTACTTCAAAGTCTATGCCTTTTCCAACAGAACTTAACGAACTGGTCACCAAATAGTAACCAGTGTACTTGTGTACTACTGATTGAAGTCTGTTGTCAAAGATTATCTTGTCTCAGAGTTTGAAAGAAAATTTAAATGTTTCATATTGCATGGTACAAAAGAGTGTTACTATGCAAAGACAGAATCTAAAGCATACTGGATTCTCTTTCAGTTGTGGATTGTGAAACCTAGGTTTATAACAAGTTATCAAATAAAACCGTCCGATTAGGATAAGCTGTCGCGAATTGCATCAGAAACCGCTAGTCAGATACCAATTTTGTTTTTCTCTTATACAACTGTGATAACATTATTGATAAAAGATAATTCCATCATTAAGCACTGAGTCAAAACTTGTTAGGACTAACCTTGTAACTTGGTCTTTCCACAGCAGATATAATTCGTTCTATTTGATTTATTGTTGATGTACCAGGGAATAGTGCCTTCCCAAGCAACATCTCACCTAATATACATCCTAAACTCCACATATCCACATATTTTGTATAACAATTTGAAGCTAGCAGAATTTCTGGTGCACGATACCAACGTGTAGCTACGTACTCTGTTAAACCAGGATTCTCATATTCATCATCTCCATCCACAAATGATTCGACAGATGTTGCACGATTTCCAGTAGTATTGGTTAGTGAACGCGTCAACCCAAAATCACATAATTTGACTAAACAATCAGAGTTTAATAGAACATTAGATGGCTAGAAATGCAAATAGACAAATAGAGATATGCAAGAGTGAAAAATCTTGTGTTTTAATTTGTATTTAGTTTCATTATATTCTTAAATTATTGGAAAAATGATATCCTTTTTAAATGTTTGGTGCAGAGTGTATACTTGTACAATCTTGTAAGCTGGTTACTTAACTGATCTCGTCATTTGCTCATGATTCTTATTTATTCGGCATAATATCGAAATTTTTAGCTCCGTACCAACTTATTATGGTATGACATTAGATATAGAATTGTGTTTGTGTAAATCACAGCAGGTTTGAAATCAAATAATTCCAACGTTTCACACGGAATTATTTGATTTCAAACCCGCGGTGATTTACACAAATACAATTCTATATCTAAAGTCAACCTTTTATTCAGCGCCCAATATTTGCCATACTATATGATCAAACCTTAATCATAGTTTATATAAGTTATTATGGTATATTTATAAACCCAGTTGCCACTTGTTGTATCCATGGATTATATATATGAATGCTTTAACAATAAACTTCAGACACCACCCCTCGATGGTCGTTCATTTTCTCGGTAAACAGAAGAAGCGGTGTATTGCAACATCCAAAAACATAAAATACAAAGGTTTATAATATGTTTACAATGACTTTGGCTATTTCCAGGTCTTTCTAAATTTGAATCCTATTAATTTTTCTTCTCTTCAACAAGTCTGATATTCACACGTTGGTTCATGTGCTTTCTCGCAAAACCTTTTGGGGAAACGACTGGTTGTGACAAGCTCCAGAGATTTAGGGCTTTTTATGCAGATCATGACAATCTTATTTCTCACTGTAACAGTATAATAAACCACATTTCGCCAACTGATTTACTCAAACACTCATTTTATGGACCACTCTAATATTATTTGTGTAAGGGATAAATTCACTGTCACATATACACGATTGTTTAATTTGAAAGAATAAACAATCACTTAAGATATTCTGAAAAAATTCACACACTGGGTAAAGTGTGAAGAAAAGCCCTAAAAAAAGAAATAAGAAAATAGGAAATAAGTCGAACAATAAGGGTTAGATGCAACGTATTTACATGAAAACCGCAGATAACTGCGTCACTAACAACAGTTTAAAATGGTTGAGTGCGACTTCCAACTAGTGATTCCAACCATATCAATTAGCACAACTATATTTTTTCAACTCGACTGAAAGCGGCTGAGAGCTTTCATAGATTAAACTTAAGTTCTGTTCCGGACTTTCCAATCCACTTAAATGTAAGTATGTGCAAATTTATTGGCTGAATGAGCAATACATGATTCTTCATTCTTCATGTTTACTATCCGAGAAGGCTCACTACTCATCTATTTTCTAGGCAAGATCGGCAAGTCGGTGGATGAGGTTGTGAACCTTTGCCAACTGAGGTAGCTTGGATATGCATTGGGCATACCCAGCCACCGCTTACCTCGACGTGCCAAGCTGGACGAAGCTGGACTAGGTTGGAAGGGGGTTCAGAGTGGCCAAACTAGTTCATGAAGTCTTTCATTTTTGGTCTGAGCAATGTGGAGATATGCAGACAACTTAACTGAGATCTTCGAGACAACAGGAATCAGTGGTTGAGGACTCTTGATGAAATGGATGAAGTTGGTCACAGTAGCGCAGATGCATTCACGCCTTGACGTCTTCTGCAGCTTGAATATTTTCACTAAGCCCTATCTTCAAGTTGTTTGTTCTCTCACATAAATTTGTCAACTTAATATCACTATTTTTATTTTCTCTCTGTGACGTACGGCAACTTGAACCGGTGAATTTGTGTGCGAGGTTTTACGTTGGTTTTGTCTCTCTGTCTGTCTGTCTGCCTATTTTCTAAAGAACTTAAGCCTATATGAATGCATCCAGAACGGTCATTTATGGTGCAATCTACCAGAAGTAGCATTGTAGTGTATGCATTTCAATCTCCATTTCTAAGATTCGCTGAAAGACGTAATCCTTTTATACGGAACAACTTAAAAGTTCAGGGTGAGATGAGCACAGAATGAAAATCTGGAAATTTGAGACGAGAGAGAATAGATAAATGAAGAGATATAAATTATTCAGAATTTCAAAGACAACAAAGCAAATATACACCTAAGCCCTGTCATTGGGTCTATATGACATCCACAAAAAGAAATGACTATGCAGCACAAATTCCTATGATACTTTTTCAACAGAAGCAGTTTTAATAGCATTTATGAGTAGGTAATATAAATAAAATAGTGTGTTAGATTGCGTGTTGTTTTGACCATTTTGCTATCTGTTTCATCATAATATACTTCAAAACAAATGAAATGAAAGGTAATTTGTATACAGAATCAAAAATACCCAAATATAAATTATGAATGGGCAGCAGACGATAGAACACAGTGAATTTCGATGATTGAATGTGATATTCGAACAATAAACTTTCTTTCTATCTGACCTTCAATATATACCAGTTAACCACTAAGAGAAAATCTTAGGCACCGTGGTAATATACAATTCAGTTGTACTTGATTCATTAGATACTTAACTATGTGATACATCTAATAAATCAACTAAAATGGAATAATTTACAAACCTCAAGATCAAATTTGACCTGATACAGTTCAATAAGTTGAGCAATGGGTAAGTGGATTATCAATGAAACATATTTATAAAATCTCAGAAAAGTAGAAAAATAAATTTCAAACGTTTTTCGACTTCGGGAAATCGCTTGTTCAGAGAATAAAACCTGTACAAGCTATTGCACGTTTAAGTTGTTCATATATGATAGAAATATGGGAGCAAATGTTACGGCCCACAGACTACTGACTGATAACATTTATTACCATGCCTGAACAAGGTGATGTAATTTGTCGCCATTTATTGTTTAAACATGCAATAACTTGTACAGATTTTATTTACTGAAGAAGTGATTTTTCCGAAGTTGCGAAACGTCAGAAATTTATTTTTCTATCTCATTGGGATTTTACAAATATATTTCATTTATAAAATGGAATGAATGCTATTTTGATTGATCTTTCGAAACACAATTGCAATTATTGTTAGGATAATTTTGCTGAATTCGTGAATAGCTAGTTGATTAAATCGTATACCTATACATAATTTCATTTTACCTTAATAATGGCATATTAGCTTCTGGATTCAAATTTCAACGTTTTCGAATATCACGCTTAACAATACCAGTTTTATGTGGGGAATAAAAAAAACTCATTTTTACCTCAGTTAATCAAAAGGCGCCCATTTTAAGAAACCGAGTGCTTTTCTCATCATATTTCAGCTACTCGCCTTCATTTTGTTATTATGGTAAATCTTAATGAACTGAATCAGGAGAATTAGGTGATAAGTGAAATTCCAATAGTAGCTTCAACAAAAGGCAACAATTTTATTTCTAAGTTATGAAGTGATTTAAGTGGTCAGTAGTAAAACCAACTTTAACAGAATTCCATCTACCTAAGCGATAACTAACGTCCCCAGTAGCACGGTTGAATTATGTTGATGCGTTGCATGGGTACGTTGAGTGACTGCCCCATGACACATGTAATCAAGTAAATACTATGCTATTATATCACTTGATAATGCGATATCAAAAAAAGATTATATAGTCCACCTGGCAACACCATACAGACTAATGGTACCATAGTTTAAAAAAGCATAGATCCTCCAAATTTTGACAAATACAGAAACGATTAAAAATTTTTTAATCAAATCATGTTATTCATTAGGCGGAAAAAGTGGTGGAAAATGAAATATGAATTACTGTGTTAATAGTAACGCGTATTTTCCCTCAAACTTGGTATCAGTACAAGCTCAAATTGACACAAGAAGTGAGGATTCTTGTATAAACAAAGTAAAGTCTCTATGCGGATATTTTCCCAACTAATCTGCGTTTGGTAGATGGATTTGGGGGATGCGGAT